ATTTTTTTTTTTTTTTTTTTTTTTTTGAAAATTACTATTAAATAAATTTTTAATTTCTTCTTAATTTATAATAGTATAACCCATTTGCTTAAAAAAAAAATATGAAATTGTAAGTAAAAATTTTTCATTATTTATTTTTAAAAAAAATAAAATAAATATCTATAATTACTTATTTTTTATATTATATTTACGAAAAACTTTTTTTTTTATTCATTGTCAATCTTTAGAAAGACGAATTTTTTTCATTTTTTACTAACTGCACATTATATATATATTTTTAATGTTTAATAAAACTTTTATAACACCTTAAAATTATATACCGAAAGATTCTATGTTAATTTGTATTTTTAAAGAATTTATTTACATTTAAAAAGATATAAAAAAAGCTAGTTAAATGTGATTTAATTAATTATTTGGTATTATTTTATTATCCAATATATATATATATATATATATATATATATATATATATATATATATAATATAGATAGAAATAATAACTATATAGATTAATATAAAATAAATGAAACTCAAATTGTCAAAAATAAAATCACACAAATAAAAAAATGAAAAGTATTTTTTTTTAAAAAATTAAAAAAAAAAATACATTTTTTAATATATTAATATTTAATAGAAATATAGAAATATTATGTGTCAATTTAATTTTATGTTGCTTTTTTATATCTATTAAATTTTATTTTTATATATAATTTATATTAACATATTGTTCATATGGTTATATACTATATTCATAAACTTAATGTTAGACATTATAAAAATAAAGTAAAAATATTTTATGTTTTTTTTTTTTTGTTTAAACTTTTTAATTCCTTAAAATATCTTTTATAAAAAAGTATTAATTATATGGTTACAAACTTCTAATCTTTTAACATGTTTTGTTCTTGTATATACATCTTTTAAATTCATTAAAGTATCTAAAAAAATATATTAGAAAAATAATATAGCATAAAAAAAAAAAAAAAATACTTTAAATAGCTTAATTGATATTTATTGAATTTTATTATGTATGCTGCTTGAAAAAAGAAAAAAAGAGTTTTTATTTTTCACATATCAGTAAAATTTTTATTTTAATAGAAACTATACCTTTATAATTAATGCTTAAAATATAAAGGAAAAAATTCAAGCTTTCAGAGAGGGATTCTTGATTCATATTTTTATTTTCTATTTATAAAGGAAAATAAAAAAAAATCACACACAATTATATACGAAAAAATAAAATAAATGAAAATATTTTTTCTATTACCAAAGTTAATTAAGAGATTATTAAAAATTTTTATACATGTATTATTATCAAAATCATTAGTTAATTTGAAGTTATTACAATACTCCTTCTTAATTATAGAACCTCTTAAGATATCCTCATTTTCTAAATATAACTAAATAGAAAAAATAAAATTTTTAAATAATATATTATAAAATATTTCAATAAATATCCTATTTGCTTACATCCTACTAATATATATAATATTTGCATATATATATATATATATATTTTTTTTTCTTTTTTTTTATTAACTAAAATAAGAAGATTAAATATTGTAGTTATTTGATCACTAATATGTTTCTCTCTATTTAAAAAAAAACTATCAGATATTCCTATATTGAACATTGATAATGTGAAATTCTCAATTTCCTGTACTTCAAATATAAAAAAATTATCAATAAAAAACAATAAGCAACTATATAATAATACAACAACTGAATTTTTTTCTAATAATCTAAAAGGAATATGATATATGTCATGCTTTAGTAAAAATGAAACTAAGTCATGATTTTTAAAGTAATTTGACAAATTCGTATGATCATACTTAACACACATAATATCATCGAACTTATCTGAATCAAAAAAAGTTTCCATCTTTTCTATTAAATTATATATCTCGTTTTTATCTTCAGATTGGCATTCATTTTTATTTTCAGTTGATTCTAAATCCTTATTTGAAGATGTGTCATAATTAAAAGATAGAGAATATTTTTTATCCACTTCATAAAAATAATTAAGTACAATTGGGTTTAAAAGAAATATGTTGACACTTTGTAAAAAATTATTTGAATATCTAAAATAAATGTGAATATTTAAAATAAGATTATTATAATCAGTTGAATTTAATATTTTATTTCTAATCAAAAACAATTCTGAGAAATCTTTATTCTTTAGTATATCCTTAATTGTTAAATTATATGAATTGGAAAAATAGTAATCATTATTCTCACTAATTTTTAATACATTTAAAAGTCTTTTTTGTGTGTTTTCAAAAAATTTATTAAAAATTTCATTTATTTTTAGTTCTATATTTTCTTTATTTTGTTTTAGTAACATAGATAAACACCACAATGATTTGTAATATATTAAATAAATACAACAACTTAAAAGATAAAATATAATATTTATTTCATCATTTACTTTTTTTTTAATATTTATTTTGTGCTTTATGTTTATATTATCTAAATACCTAAAATCTCCATCATTATTAATATATTTTTCATAATTTAAAAAAATATCATTATTTATATATTTACAAAAATAAATACTTTTTATTTCTCTACACTCCATTATATCGTACAATTTATTTACAAGACTGAAAAAAAAAAAAAAAAAAAAAAAACATATATATATATATAATTAGTAAATATTATGTAAAAATATACTAATATTTATGTGATATAAATATTATTAAAGTTCATTTTTTAATATTTTTACTTGGTATGTTTAATAAAAAATAAAAAGGAATATGGATTTTTTACTTGAATCAAAATATGAAATAATATTTTACAGGTCTCAATAATATTACTAAAATTTTCATAAATATTTATATTTCTTAATATAAATAATAAGAAAATAGTAGATGCATATTTTAAAAATACGTGATTTATTTTATTTTTCTTTTTCTTTTTTGTCTCTTGATAGATATCATTTAAATCTAAACTTTCATTATATAATATTATTTTCGTTATATTTTTTTTTTTTTGATTTAGATTTAAAATTTTAATAATAACATTAGATAAAAAAATACAAAAATTTTTATCATAAAAAAAAGTTTGTCTTTTAATTATAAATTGAATTAAGAAATAAACAAATTTTGTGTTGTATAAAAGTTCATCTGATAGTAGTTCTAAGATTAATTTTTGTTGGTTGATGTTATCATCAGAAAGCTTAAATAATTCATATATTATATTTGGATTTATTTTAACATTTATATCCTCTTTATTAAAATCCAGACTTTCAAAATTTTTTAATTTCTTTATTCTTGATTACGAAAAAAAAAAAAAAAATAAATAAAATAATAGAAAAAATAATAGAAAAAATAAAATTTATAATATTTTAATATGTAATATTTTTCATAACGTTGATACTGTCATATATTTTTCATTTTATTTTATTCTTATTTAATATTGTTCTAATTTAATCTATGATAAATATTTTTATATTATCAAAATAAAATAATTAATTAATAATGAAAATTACTTTTTCTCTTTTTAACTAAGTAAAACTTGAATATTTTATTTTTTAAAATTTACTTGTTTATATAAAAATGAAGACTAAATATATCCAATGAAATATAGCAATTTTTAGTTATGCATATCATATCTTTTTCTTTTTTTATTATCTCTCTAATTTTATTTGTTTTCTTAAAAATAATAAATAACAATATTATTAAATATATTATATCTATTTCTTCTAATCTTAGGTATACACATTCATTGTTAATTATAGTATAAATTATCTAAAAAATGAAAAAAAAAATAAATAACAAATATTATTAAAAAATTATGAGATATGATTATAAATAAAAAATAAAATTTATATTTTTCTTTTTATCTTTCCTTATACTTGTAGTATGAGAATATACTTTTCTAAATATTCTTCACCATTTAAAATAAAAAAAAATAAGGAAGTTATTTTTTTTATAACATCTATGAAGTTATCATGTATTTTGTTTTCAATTCCTTTTTTATATTTAATATCTTTATATGTTTCTATAGTTCCTGTAAATATAATGTTTGTTATATATAAACAAGTTATTGTAATATTTTTCTCTTTTTTGTTTTTCATATATTTTTCAAGAAAGAAATAATAATTAAAAGGATTAACATAAGAACCTATTAGGTATAAACAATTTATATAAATACACCACAATTCTTCATCTAATTTTTTTTCAAATGAGTGAATTAAATATGAAATGAATGAAGGAATATGTTCAGTTATGCTTTCTTCTATAAAATAAAATATTAGCAATATTATTTTACTAGATTCTAAATTTTCGTATTTAGTGGTTTCATCTTTTTTCTTATATAAATATTTAAAATAGATATTTAAAAGTGTAGAAGACAATTTTTTACATTCTTTATTATATTCATTATTTGTTACATCGATATAATTTATTTTATTTTCTTTCAATATTCTTGAAATATTATCATTACTAACTATCAAATTATGTAGTAGATTTTCATAATATTGACTACTATATTCTTCATCTTTTTTATAGTTATCATCGTATATTTCTTTAAAATTATATTTTTCTTTTTTATCTTCATCTTTTTCGTTTATCCCATTTTCTATCTTTTTTTCTTTATTTTCATTTATCTTTAGGTTTACACTTTCCTTTTTGTTATTCTCTTCTTGCATGTCTTTTTTATTATAAAAAATACTAATTTTATACATATTTTCTTTAATTAAAAAGTTGCTATGATGAAAATTGAAATAAAACTTTGTAAGTGGCAAAGGTAAAGTAAAAGAAGTTTTATATGACCATTCAGGATAAAGTTCATAAATAATTTCTTCTTTTACATCATTATTTAAATCTGATTGTTTTTTTTTTGATAGTAGTTGAAGATATAAGAAACATATTATCCTAAATATTTTATAATTATCAAAACAGCCAGAAAATAAATATGGTAATAAAAAGGCTATAAAATCATTAGAATCAACAAAATCATATAAGATAATAAATAAAAAAGAGTAAAAATGAAATTTCACTTTTACATTCTTATCATTAAATAAAATACATAAATAGTTTATATTGATGTAGTTACTATCATAAAAACTTTTTATCGGAATAATATTAGGATCTTTATATCCAATAAGCATTTCTATTATTTTATAATTTTTTGAATTATTATTATTTTTAATTAACTTAATTAATATGTCAAAACATTTTATTTTTATTTTACTGTATTTATTACATAAACATTTTAATAAGCAAGTACTAATTATATAATAATAACTTATAAAAACATCATCAAACTTTTCTAATAATTCTTCAATTAAATTCATCATTATAAAATTAATGGTGCTGGAATTATCAAACAACCCAACCAAACATATGCGAATTATTTTGTCACAATAGTTCATAAACTGAGAAAATAAAATAAATAATATTTATATAATAAAATTTCATATTATTATAAATATTTAAAATCACAATACATATATAAATATTATTGTCTATTTAAAAAAAAAAAAAAAAAAAAATTTAAATAATAACAGATAGAAAAAAAAAGAAAAGAAAAAAAATGAAAATAAATTTATTTTAAAATTAAAACAAATTAAATGAAATATATGTAAACTATTTAAATAATCTCTTATTAATAAGCATGCATATTCATACTTGCTGTCTAGAAATAATAAATGTAAGAAAATAAAAATATAGAAATATAAAATATCTTCCATTTTCATTTATAAAATAATTTTTAAGAATCATAGGTTTATGATCATACAATTTCATATTTTCATCTTTTTCATCAATTTGTAGTGTAGACTGATCGGCATTTAAAATTTTATGTAAGCAATCAATTATATAAGTAAAATATTTATTAATATTATTTTCATTTAATAAAATTAAAAAGAAATATAAAACAAGAAAAATATTTTTTTCTTCATTTTTATCAAAAACTAATAGCAAATTATGGAATATTTTTTTTAAAGCATAATCATTATAATTATTATCAATACTAAAAAAGAAATATAAATTTTCTAAAATATAGAAATTGTTTTTTTTTAATTCATATATATATTTTTTTAGTAATTGTTTTTTATTTTTAGAATTTAAAATTTCATTAACTTTTTTTTCTTTTTCATCATATATATACTCATTTATAAAATATTTTAACTTAACTATAATGTTATCTTTCAACAAATGTTTCGGAATTTGCAAATTAAAATATTCTTTTTTTTCTTTCTCATTGTCATATATAAAACTATTTTTGTTTATATCATTATTTTTAATTCTACTTAAGTTTTCATATATGAAATTGTTCTCTAAATTTTCTAATTTCTTTATATTTTCTTTTATATCTAAATTATTGCAATTTCTATTTTTATAATTATCTAGGGTTTCTTTTATTATATAGTCTAATTCATTTTCTTTGTTCTTTTTTTTTTGTTTTATTGAATGAAAAGTGCAATTTATCATTTGGATAAATGGAGAATAAGAAGAAAATATTATAAATAAAAAAAGAAAATAATAAAAAAAAAAAAATAAATAAAAAAAGTAAAAAAAATTTAATATAAATAAGAAGGAAAATAATATGATTAATAAAAATTAAAAAAGAAATATTAAAAAGATTTATTTTCTACACATAAATATTTCTTTTTCTTAGAAATTAAAGAACTATTAAATTATAAATATTAAATTATTAAAAGATTATAAAAACTACTAATACCTATTCTACTAATTTTTTTTTATAAAATTTTTTTAATGAAAAATTATTAATAGTATTATTTTTTTTTTTTTATTCTAAAAAAAAATAGAAATACAGTAGCTAATTTTTTTTATATAATGAATCCTTAATTTTTCGGATAGATTAATATACTAGTGCTATCCATTCATACGTTTGATAACGTTTTCTATAAATACGTATTTAAAAATGCTATGAATAATAAATTTTTATTTTTTATATAAAAATATCTAATATTTATTTTCATAAATGTATTCATATAACTATCATTTTGTAGAATACTGGTTAAATTTTTAGTGTGAATCATTTTTAATCCTATTTTATGTAAATTTATATAAAATTTTAAACAAATTTTTTGTATTTTTAATTAAAAAAAAAAAAAAAAAAAAAAAAAATCACTAAAACATAGCCTAGTCTAAATAAAGGCATGAGTATACAATATGGATTAATAATTTAACTTTTTTTTTTTAAACAAATTTTAAATAAATATTTTTGTTATATACAAAAAATTTGAATATGCTTAATCTATCTCATTTTTTTTTTTCTCTTTTTTTTTTTTTTTTTTTTTTTTTTTAATTTTTTATTTTAAAA